TACAGATAGAGGATATTATTCAGCCCCGGGCCGGATACGTGCAACACTCTAACTTCCTTCACAGATTCTAGGAAGACGGGTTGCGGGTGAATGTTTGGTTGATTGTTTTCGTCTCGATGTCTTCCCCGTTCAAGCCATTCCAGAAATCATATCCCCTATGATGCCGGACATCCCTATCGATATACTGTCTAGGGATTTCTATCCTTCCTTCGCTCAACACCCCCAAGTTCTACATGCGAAAAATCAGCGGCGGTGAGTGATAAAATGCTGACTTTCATCTGACGTTGCTCATTCATTTTCAGCCCCTTGCTTCACTTGCTGGATCCAACCCGACCTTTGACTTTGACCCCTACATTCAATATTTGCACTTGTACAATATCTAATCTTTCGAAGGCGCAAACTCGCCAGGAGATCGTTTGGAACCTTCTCATCTCCACGAGCGTAGGAACGATCCATTTTCTCTTCCGCTGTACACCCCGTTCCTCCCTTCCATGGGGTCACGTCAAGATCAAGTCAATGTCTACTGAGGCCTACTCGTTGACTTGAGTCGTATTCAAAGTGTATTCAAGTGCACTCAGGTTATTGATAACTGAGTCTCAATGTTCCGAGGCCTGTCCGAGCACTCCCTACGCATACTCGTGTAGTCAGTGAGCATAGCATTCAAACAATTCGCTCTATATCATCAGGCGGAGTTCGTTCATACCCCGCCTGTATGCACTTTAGTGTAATACTCCCCAAGGTAATGAAGAGCAAACAAACTTCTACTATTGATTTGACGTCATTTGCATGCCCCAAATGCAAGTTCCCGTGCAAAAATATTGTTGCTAGCAATCTACTTTCCTATCGGCGAAGCTGACGTGCACAGGGATGGTTTGTAACTAGCGTTTGGATAAGGGTGGGTTTGACAGGATATGTGTTATGGGCGAGCTGACAAGCATTATTAAAATTGCGTTATTGTTCGCCGGATCCCCGATTCTCACCTTCTAGCTGGCTACTGGAATTGGGGTGAGGAATCCGGTGTTCTGTTGCGAAGGCCAGAAACTACGCATAAAATATTGAGAGGAGTATAACCTAACAGCCACGTACCTGCAAAGTCTGCGTATATCCCTATACCTTCTACTCCGCGTGCTCTTCCGGGCGATAAGGGTATTCATGGGGGTGAGCTTGAGAACGAGCCGATGATGAGCTGAGGAGGACGCGAAAAGACACAACAAGCTTCCTTGTGTTGGCTTGAGCTGAAAGAGAGGAAGCGAGATGAACGAGTTTGATAGACGAGCATTTCATACGTGAAGGTTTTCATCGTACGTTTCCCTAGGATATCATAGTTTATGGACGATACTGAAGGAAAAACGTAACAACTCACCATGGGATTCAATCACGACTTACGACCTATAACACTCGGGAGCCGCGAAAAATACGAAGCTATTCGACCTGCGAGCTGGAGACGGTGGTGTATTCGATAGCGGATGTGGACGAGATACGGGTCGTCGAGTTGGGATACTAGACGACGATTGAGAACATCAATAGCAGAAAGACCACAATAGCTCACAGTCTTTTGGGGAGAATAGCAACCAAGGGCAAATGCGACGACGGACATTGCAGTTCACTCGTAGTGACAGCAACGAAGAGCGGGTTAAAATCAACAAAGGAGCGCTTGCGTCATCCACTTGCTGCCACGTGGTTTGTCAGGCACAGCTGATGACGCAAGCGTAGTTTGTTGATTTTTGAACCCATCATCGCTCTAGTGTCTGCTCTCTATTTCTCCACAGATACTTTAGAATGTGTGGCGAGGAAGGATTTGGATCAAGTTTGCATCTGTCTTCATTGCATTTCTTGTGTTCTCATGCATCGTTCAAACGTTCATCCTAGTTTAACCCTCGACACTCAACACCACTTCCCGACGCCGACGACCTGCTCAAGATGAGATAGTTCCATCGACATCCTTGTCAAAAGTACTGTCTAAAAAAAGCCGTGTTCGCCTTTGGCTCACCAGATGATGTTCTCGCACGTCGTTACTGCTGGAAAGAGGACCTTAGGTGAGCGAGAACGTACCGTTGCTGGCTTCGCAGGCCAATCAACGGTTCCTACAGATCTCTACGCTCTACCCTTCCTCCCCTTTCACACATCCCACTGCGCCAACGTGCCTCTCATTCGACCGCGTATTGACCCTGCCATCGTTCTTCTCTTCACACACTCTCCAGTGTGCATGGCTATTGGACATCACTGATCGGAGGGATGAAAGCACGAAGACTGGGCTCAAATAGGATACCATTCCTACATGTTCATCCTCCCGGTGCTAAGTTGAGCATACAATCTCCTTTGCCATGCGTCTGAATACCCGTTTCGCATATGGTCGTCTGTTCCTTTGTATACCGCCTTGCTTGAATGTCGAGCTCCCACATCCACTACCTGCCCGCCACGCCCTGCCCATCGTATAACCCTCTTCCTCGCCCTTACCGTTACACTTTCATCGAGAACCTCATTCAGAAGGTGGCCGTGGGTGAGTAATGACGCATTCCTACCCATCACATTCAGTCACACGCTCCGTAGATTCCAACAAACAAAGTATATTTGGCGAGGGTCGCAGCCGGAGTTGTCGATGTACGAAGAAGGCGGGGGATGTTCGCGTGGCGGAGACTGTTTGAATGCTGCTCAGAAGGGCTCTAGAAAAAGGAGAGAATTGGCTGCGTCCCGAAAAAGGACGTGTGAGAGGATGTGGGAGCTGCAGCCAGGATAGACTCACCTTACGAGACGTCTGGTATCAGTGGCAGCTCCTTCCAGAGCCACGCCATCACTCGGCAACGCTCTTGCGTGAACGGGGTCTAGGTCAAAAAAAAGTTGAAAATCATCCAATCATCCAGCGCTTGCGTCATCATTGTACCTGAACCATCCACGTGGCATTCTCGTTATCTCCGCGGCAAAGCGCCATCCTTTCTCGTTCTTTACCGCCATTTTCGACTAGCCTTCAGGTCTTTTTCCAGGATCTATTTCTGTCTGATGATTGCATACAAAATTGGAAGGTGTGCAGATAACGTCTTAGTGAGTTGTGTTGCGGTACTGATGGTTCTTTCTGTGGATAAGGTTGGATATACTACACGAGATCTATCCACATAATTCTCGCATTAAAGATCCACAAGTTCTTATACTGATCTCCTGGAATGTAAGAATGTTGTGAGTGATCATAGTACACACCTCACCAATTGCTCTAACGCCTACAACAAGAGGCCGCAAACCCAATCCACAGACAGATACTCCGAGTCAAGCCTTTCGATCAACGGGGCCTCAATACTCACGACCACGTGTACTCTATGCGGATCCGTGTTACATCGGCGGAGAAAATATGCGTATTTAGCTCGTGCACTCGCTGAAGTGTAGACAGGAGGTTTTCGCTCAAGGTAAGTCATTTAAGTCCTAGCCAAAGCAAAACCAAAGCGTTGACGCCTTCCGGTGCCCGCAACAGCCCTGTATCCTCCATAACCGTTGATCTAGTATTTATCGACGACTCCAGAAGTGAGATGTGGTACGCTGGGTTAAGGATCCTTTTTCATCATACTTTCTCGTCATGAAGAACACCCATGACGCTCTCGATAAGCACCCTCATACATACTACCTCTATGGCCGGTAACTTACCTGTACGTTGTCTTTTACTCCCAATTGCAATTTTAGGATTGTCGTGCTTTTCAGGCCTTTATACCTTACCTTACCGCTTCAAGTTGTATCAAGGCTTCACCGGTGTAAACGCTACATCAGGGCCTGTATCGTCACAGGAAAACCCGATGACCCTTTTATATGTAATGTCCAAATCGATAAAACCCGATAAACCGTTTGTACGTGAAGTGAGAATTCGGACTATGTTAGAAGCGAACAATTTACACTGCTGCAATTATATGAAGAGTACGCGAGGATGAAATAGAAACGCGTGCTGAGGCTGGTGCACGTAATACGCGCACTCTTACCATCGAAGAAGCATCTCGTCTCAGAGGGCTGTTAGAATCAAGACGTACAGATTTATTTGTTCAGGGTTAGGGGTTAGACATCATCGACGGTAGGTTATCAACTGTATGATATTTAATGGTCGTCATGACATTCCATGCAACATTAACACTATACACTGACTTTGCTTTTGGTCTTTTAGCGATTACTTCCTAGACTCAAGAGCTTTGGGGACCTTGTGTATCAAAAGACCCTGGACTTGGATCCCATTATCAGGGGGTTGAGCAGCTCTGTCAATCTGTTGAACATACAGTCATCGAGCCCCTCACCGCCAATTTCGCCGCCTTAATAAAAAAAAACAGAAAGGATCGATACCCCCATAACACCTTTTCTCCAACCGTCAACAACTAATTGACCAACAAAACAAAAACAGAAACCCATAATCATTAAAGGTGCTTCCCAATTCGAACCCAGGTGAGGGAGGATATCGCTGCTCCGGGCGTGATAACCAACATGCCACAACACCTAAGTACAGTATCCACGAAAGCCGTTACACATCTGCGACAGAAGACAGCTGCAACACGGTTGGCAGTTAAAACCGATACCCAGGCGTTCGGATCACGATCGAAGCAATCGCGGAATTTACACGTGTAGATGAAGAACGAGCACGGGACCGAGAAGCCGGGGATTTCATTTCGGAAATTTAAACGCCCATGAGTGACGATAAGAAGATGACAACGCGCTACTGAAAGGCAGTCAGAGTTAGGTTTCGCGTGACCTCCAATCCTTGCCTGGTGCTTGATGAACGAAAACTCAACCGGAAGTGAAGATGAACAAGCGTGAAACCGAGAGGTCGTGAATGAGTGAATTGAAGGTATTCCCAACTTCTTTATTCGTCAAGGATACCCCAGACGCTTGACTTGCATCGGATCCCCGTGGTGAATCGCTATCCATTTGGATCACCGATGGCATCGGGATAGAAGCAAGTGCCGTGAATTGAGCGAGGAACAAAAAATACCAGATGTGCGGCAACGAAGGGTCGTAATATGACGTTTTATTGCCTCCATAGGTGCTACCAGGATTCGAACCTGGGTTTCGGGAACGATAACAATGCCGAATCATCAGAATCCCGAGTGATAACCACTACACACTAGCACCTGATAGCAAGGCGCACGTAAGGTGGATTATGGAAGCAGCGCATAGAGAGCGATGATTCCAAGAGATCCACGTTCGACAGAGAGCCCCCTTTGGTCTAGGGGCGAAAATATCCGCATATAGATGGTAACGGAAGGAGGATGTGAAGACATGTAGAAACGACCCCATCCTCTGCGCCTTTGCACACCCCATTCCTTCCAAGCCCGATGAAACGCCGAATGGGAGGGAACGGCAAGGTGTCTTGGGGTAGAGAGGTAGAGAAGGGGCGAGAAGTGGGTTGTATTCGAGCCTGATGGTAACATGAGTCGTCATAGAGGAGGAAGGGAAATATATGCGAGCACCCACCGTTGGGGGATACCCGGATTGGGCCAGGTTTGAGTATGACACCGGCGGGGCTGATGGGACATGCACGGGGAGGGTTAGATGTGGGGTAAGGCGTTTAGTTGACGGAGGGTGTGAAGATGGAAGGCCAAGAGATTGCATTGTCGTTTTTCGGCTAACGTTCAGGATGGTTACTGGTTTTACGGTGGATGAGGGCAGGTTTCAGAGGCTAGAAATGACGTATGAGACCCCGAGAGAAAGATAACCGAAAGCCACGTACCTGCACAGTAGGGCTTCGACCCAATATCTTCTACTCCCTCGTTCTCTTCCTAGGGCTGAGGGTGTTCGTGGGGGTGAACTTGAGGAACGATAAGCAGGGGAAGGTACAGGAACTTCCGTGGGGCGACTTGAGTGAAGGAAGGAAGCGAAGTAAACGGGCATGGTAGGCTGACATTCTATATCTGAGCTTGTCGTGCGTAGTCCTAGGAAACCGTTCTGTATGAGACAAGGCCAAAGGAAACGCGTCACCACTCACCACGGGATTCAATTTTCCCACTACAACCCAACACTAGGACTGCCTTGGGTATGGACTTGGGAGCTGATATCGGTCACGGAGTCGGCTTGAGATGAATGGTAGCTGGCGGATAGAACTCGAAGCTTGGAATCGAAGAAGAGTGTGTGCCTCGTTGGGAGCCGTTGACGAGATACAGACTAGACGATTATTGAGAAGATGAACAGAACGACGAACATAATAACTCACCCTAAGACTTGGACTAAGTCTGTTGGGTGGAAGAGCCAAAGCGACGATGGGCGTTGCGGTTCAAAATCAAAAAAAAAAACCAGTGCTTGCGTCATCAACGTGCCTTGCTCCACCACGTGTCGGGTATGGTACAGCATCAAGCCTGCAACTCCATGCCTGCCTAGCTCAGTCGGATAGAACGACACAACTCTATACTGAAGACTGCGAGTTCGATCCTCGCGGTGGGCTACTACCAACTCTTTCTGCTTACTTTTTTGCTTATTACAGGGAAATCACGGTCGTTTTGACCTACAATCTCTATTACCATCAATTCCGTACTGCTGCCGTTCCTGTTAACCAGTTCCACATCCAATCGATTCTCTGGCAATGGATTACCGCTATTAGTTTAAGGGACCCAGCCGGAAAACCATTCAGCTCTGGATACCATTGAAATTCATCTTCTCGGCGATATTGAAGACCACGCTTGTACTAGTAGCCTGCTCGTTCTCCATCCCCGCTACTCTGTAGGTGCTTCAAGAGCCAGGCGGGTTGTTCGAGCGTAAAATCATTGATACCATAATCGAATCAGTAGACGATCTGTTATTGAATCGTAGTCAAGATAAGGGATGGGGATGTAAGGGGAATGAGAACGAGAACTACGAAAAATGGTTCGGCTCATTTACTGTGATGTATTCGCCACTTGAATTCATGACTCGCAGCTATAACGGCGATCGGAGTCCTTACCTGTAAGAGTTCCAGATGGCGATCTGGAAGTCGAGAGCTTCTAACCGTTGGACAAAGTCGTTTGGGTGAAATAGCGTACAAAAAGCAAAACCGAAGATGAATGTTGAACCACCGCTTGCGTCATCAATCTGCCTACTCAACCACACGGCCCCCAGTATAAAGCAGTAATAAGTCTTTGACGGCATGCCCGCCTAGCTCAATCGGATAGAGCGTCAGACTTTTATGACATGTCTCTTTCACTTGCCAAATGTAGATCTGAAGGCTGCGAGTTCGACCCTCGCGGTGGGCTACTGACACCCTTTACAACGAGTATTTTGCTTGTGACAATCAAATTCCGACTTAAAATCTCTGTTAGTATCAAATCAGTTCCATCTCTGGCGAAACTGTATCTCGGCTATCCAACTGATACTAGCGAACGCCCCTGTACTCGGACGTTTGAGGTGTTTAATCATGACAAGCTCCCTTCGCAAAGACTACTTTTAACCTCAGTCCACCGTAAGTATGCGATGCTTCCCGATAAAGTCCTTCGTCATTACCTGTCGAAAAGATTGATTTACACACAAGGGATGGGGAGATAACGACAATAAAAGTCGGTTTGGCACATTGACTGTGACGGATGCCCATCATTAAATCTCTTTAACACACCGAAACATAATCGACCTGGGAGTGTCCATATGAGCAAGGCTTACCACTGGTGGCAAGGTGATAATCCTCGTGTTGGGGAAATATCAATGATTAGTTAGTGCATACCACGGTACACATCATGGCCAGTTTCGTATACGGGAAGAGTTGTCGGACCAAGGACACCGATCTTATCGGAACTATACTGGTCTTGTTCTGGTCATCTCGGAGGTTTGGGTATGTCGGAGGTGGCCGCTCTACTTCACAACAGATTTTGCGTTCGCACCCTGCTTTGACCAACGACGTCATGCTGGCCCATCTCTGTCGTTTTCGGACAAGACCTGGCGATGTTGATTCACAAACAGTCGAGTCCACCGTTGAACGATATGAGGCTATTGGGATGAAGCTATCACAAGTCTTGACAAAAAGACGCTCGTATTCGCCTACTATTTATCTGAATTTTCGAGTTAAAGCATTGATTTAGTGCCACCTAGTACTTGCTTTGACCTTGGCCGTCCTAGCTCGTATCCATGGGTCTTGTCTCTGATGCCACGGAAGGTTTGAATGGTGGCAAATGCTTTGAGAAATGCCACAGGAAATCGTATGGGATATAAACCCCTGCTTCTGAGGAATGAGAAGCACTCAATCACCTTAACACTTCCTCTTCTCAGCTTCTTATCTCAATTTTCGTGTTATTCTCAACTTCTAAACACACTCAACTTCAACATCAACATGAACCCCAACTCCAACAACGGAAACAACGGCTACTTCCGCCCTGATGGGTACGCTTCACGCTTACATGTACTACCTTGTTTCTAACTATTCTCTCATTGCAGGTACGCCAACTCAGCACACCGACCTGTTCAAGACGAGCACCTCCGCGCTGCTCAGCTCAACGACAGGCAAGGCGGTTATCCTCGTCGTGCTGAGGTGTACGTCTGCTTCCTTACCATACACCTTTCTTTTACTAACTCCCATGCCAGAACTCCCGATCCACGCATCATTAGAGGAAACACATGCCCCGAGCTGAATGTCGCAATGAACCACTGGAACGCCGCCGTCGCCGAAGATCGACTCAAACAGGCTCAGGTTATCGCTTCACGCGGGTATGTTTCCTCAATTATCTCTAATCTCCTTCAATTTGATTGCTGACGTCCTTCTTTGTAGGTACACCGATCCACGCGCTACCCAAGGACCCGCATGTCCTGAGTTGGGTGTAGCAATGCACCAGTACAACTCTGCTGTGGCTGAGGATCGGTTGAAAGAGGCTAATCGAAAGCTTCAGCAGGAGAGTCGTGCGCCTCAGCAACCGTACCCTCAACAACCACCTGTGAATCCATACCCGAATGTCAAGCAGGAGGCTCATGACCCGCCACAGCAACAGCAGAACGCACCTTATCCGAGCGTTCCACAACACTCCAATGTTCCACGCACTCCCAGCAGCCGCACTCGTAGAATTAAGGAGGAGCAAGATGAGGCTGCTGCCAGACGGTAAGCATTCTTTCCTATATTGATACGTCGGTTCGGTGATCTGACTCAGACGATAGGGCACTAGCTGGATCTTCGTCCTCCTCTCATCGTAGGAGGTAAATCGACATACCTAGGTCTCTGTGTGACTCAGGGTTGACTCAGGGATTCAATGGTCAATCCTCAACTTACCATTCACGATTCACGACTTCACGTTTTCTTTGCCGATTTGAATCTGATTTATGTATATGCCTCTTGTACAACCTATTTATGTCTACCTTGTTACCTCTATGCATCTATTAAAGTTGTATGAACGGAATCGACTTCATTTCATTCAGGAAGCCCCTAGCGCTTGAACGTCGGAACTTCAACATTAGGTAATGATCATGCCTTGCTCTCAACCATCATGTCCGTCTTACGGTTGTTATCACTCTTCTTTTTGGTGTCGTGGCCGATATGAATCACAGCCTTCACTTTGAACTTGTTCGCATCCCAATGGGTTCTAGGCGGGTTATGCGGCGATAATGTCTGACTATGGATATTCCAAGTAATCGTGAACGAGTATTAACCTGCGAGAAGCGAATCACCGACTATAGCCCATGACTACGAACAGATCAGCTATCTGTCATCATTGTGGATTGGAACCGCGAGCGACTCATACCTCCTGATCGCTATAGGATTGGGTCGTCGTACTTGCACAGAAAGGCATTCGTGTTCCATTCATTATTCTCATACCTGGATTCTATCTTAAAGATGCAAAGGATAGTTGTAGTATCATTGTTGAGATCGTGACTGTCCAGACTCCACATCACGACCAATAACAATAACTTCATTCAGGTCAGATCCACATTCTTCTGCTCTTGGATTAAGACCAGCTGGCTGGCTTTGCGACAGATTTGTTGGATGATCTATTTCCAGCGCTCCGACTGTGATCATTTCGGTCCTAAAGTCGTTGAAGGCAATACCAAGGCTGACACGAACAATTACAATAGATGCTGTAATGCCCTAAACAAATAATTCAGCATCGCTACAAATATAAGTTGTGCATGAGGACTCACAGCACAGTAAGACCATGCTCCACGACAAGTACCCATGATGATGGCACTCAGCTCGGAACTTGGATTACTGCTTGATACAGCAAGTGTGATGAGGAATACGGAATAAACGACTCCTGACTCGAGTCTATATTCTTGGTGAATTACTGACGAGCCCTTGATAATCAATGAGGATCTCACGTTGCACCAAGTATGATTCTCTGCATACTCCGTGATTTTCTGCCTACGTATTGGGAAACTTCACGGTATATCACAAAGATTTTAAATGCTGATGGGCTTCGTTAGCAAAATTTGACACTAAAAGGGATGCGCTAGTGCTGCACCAATGAGCAAAGAGAGGAGTAAGTTGTTCGTTGCAACGCCCACTATTCCAATAACAGCAATCCGGCTTAATCCGGCAAAAACTGCCGGAACTGTCCAAGCAATAAGATAGATCAATAACGGTGGGATGAGCTGACTCACTGTGAAAACTAGTTAGCAAGATGGGCAAAATGATCACTCTCCACTTCCTTCCCCACACTACATAGCATCGCGATATCTAGTAAGTATGAGCACTAAAACCCTGAACAAATGGACCCTTTAGTTACCAGGATACTATCCGCTATGAAGCTGAAAATAATGTATGATGTTGAATGGTCAGGATCAGGCATAGACAGTGGTCAAAGGTACTTACCTACAGCTGATTCCCATAAAAGGAGCTGGAGCCGCAATTGTTGCCAGTACAAAATAAGGGCATTCAGCATCTGGATTTTCCAACTGGCGACACATGACCGAGACCCATTCAGAGGTGTTTGAGAGAAGATTTACTGTTGCAAGGACGAAGATAACAATGTTGGCGAGTAGGTTGTATTTCTGTGATGCTTTATTCCGCTTCCACAGAATATGCATACAGATCCCAAATGTCACTATGTAAATACCTTCAAGAAGTGAGTCATAGTCGAGTAAGAAGGCTTGTTGGGTACTTGCCATATAATAGGGTCCCTGTCTGCACACTGTATGAGAACTGTAATCGGTCACTTCATTTCTATGCGTACCATGGGGATAACGGTATTAACCAGAGCCAATGTAAGCTGTTTCATGTCAATTAAGGCGAAGAAGGCGAGGGGTATGCAATAACGGAAACATCCTCCACAGTTATATACTAGCTCATCTATGAAAGCGAGCTATAATCGCGTTTCCATATCAGGTAATTTGCAGGAGATGAAATCAGTGCGTCAGACCAATACATTTGTCAATGAATGACCGCTACCATAGGAATTGATTCATTCTCAGGGGCATGTCATTATTATTCCTAAATCTGAAGAGTGGTACTTATAAGGAAATGTCGAATCAACCCAGGAAAGAATCTATGTTCGTCCGCACCACTGAAACATCGACCATTGAACAGTCTCCTCGCCAAGTGATCCGAGAAACCCTAGGCCTGGATACCGGCAAGAATGTTCTGATCGATAGCTGGAAGCTCATCAGATGAACAGAGCTAATAATCTAAGTCGGAATTAAAGAAAGTTTCATTGGTTGCCCCCCAAATCAGGCATTGCCCTTGAGAGAATAGAAAGACGCCTGACACTGCCTAATGATGAGATCATGCAACCTTCACAAAGAAGCGAAATCGGTGCAAGCGTAAGCCTAGTTCATCTTCTATGAGTGTTAAAGTGTTCAAAATATAAATATCGTCCCCGGTAATAATTTTTCGCTCCCCCGGTAATAATATACATACTTTTGTGACATTCCAGTACATTACGCCCCCCGTAAATAACATAGAAATCCCCCGGTAATAACACTTTTGACAAAACACCCCCCGGTAATAATCGGCTATTTCGGCAAAAGGGTTTCCCACGCACGTGGCCTATGTCGAACACATCTTGTCCTCAGTGGTCAGGCGAGATTATCTAAGCTCAATTGAGTATATGATTTTATCTAGGATATACTTAAGTACTCGAATATGCAATATTGAGTAGTCCCTTATGTGTAGAACATGGACCATAGCCACGTACTTTACTTTCAGCCTCAAGGTGTTCAGTGTCGTTCGGAAAGCCAGCTCACCTCTTGAATGTGTTTTACTGCTGAGAGTATTAAATTGGTACTAGTCGTTATTGAGTATGATGAGTATGGGATTGAAGTTGGCGCTTTATCAATCGTAATGAAC